ATTGTCTTCTCTACTCTTGAAGTGGTGTGGATGAAGAGGACAAAACATTCTTGAATATTTCTTGTCTCATGAATGCAGCTTATTCCTTAAGTTCCTATCAACATTGGTGGAAAGAGATGTTCAATGAAAGAATTGGAATATGTGGCACGCCTGCTACAAGAGTAATTTGCATTCCCTTGTTCATGCTCTCGGTATTAATCAGTTTTATAAGTGATATGCAGCACCACCTTCCCCAAATGATTCAACAGTGAAGATAGTTGCTGACAAACTAGCAAGTTTTGTGGCTAGACATGGAAGGAAATTTGAGCATATTACACGTCAAAGAAATCCAGGAGATACCCCTTTCAAGTAAGTACATTATGAAGTTTAAACTCAATTATTTTTTCTGTTGTGTCCAATCTGTCTGTTGTCATTTATGAAATGCAAAAGGAGAATGATTCACTATGGATATAGGTTTTGGGTATCATTTTCTTTATTGTATTTTCTGATTTGGCTCTTCCTGCCACTTATGGTAGCTCATATGCTCTATGCATTGGCATTTTATTTTGTTTGCAGATTTTTATTTGACGAGAGCTGTGCTGATTACAAATATTATGAGTATCAGCTTGCCATTGAGGAGAAAGTCCTGCAACAGACCAGCGATTCTCAAACATCTCGTAATGGTTAGTATTTGTGCATGTAAATCTGTGATGTGAGTGTATTTGTACTTGTCACAAAGGATTAGGATTTTAGTTTCGGTTGATTGGCCAAAATTTCGGCCAAATAGTGTTACCGACATTTGATAGGGGGGAAGCTTTATTTGTCACCTATGCTGCTGATATTTCACTGTAACTTTTGTAATATTGGTAGTATCAGCCAATTTTGGTATATTGGTACAATTTGTGTCACTCTGGGTTGGTTTTTACCGATAGTTTACTGAAATTCTGGTTTTCAGACTGTATGAATATACAGCAAATGGCTGCAGTCTTTTTTTTTTGGCTTCATATTTCCACCAGTATTGATTGTTTTCACTGAAATATATATAGCTTTCTTTAGTTTGATTCCTGCTTGTTACAGTTGTAGACCTCCTAACATTCCTTGTCCATGATAGGCTGATGAACCTAGATTTTGCTTAATATCTTATATAATACTTTTGTTTACCGAAAGTGATTTGTTTGAACCTTTTTTTTTCTGCAATATTGAGAGTTCTTGCCTGGATTGTGCAACACTATTTTTTGAATAGCTTTTTCATTGATGAGAAATTATAAATCTTGTGTAAATTTTTTTTTTTTTTTTTTGTGTGCCTTCCCATGGCCTAATAATTTAGCATAGGTTTTAAAATTTGGTTTTATTATGGTTACTTCTTGAAAATCTCTGTTTTGATTGAATTCTACTTGGTCTTGAGAAATTTAACACTATCAGATTGTCAATGGGTGGTGGGCTCTCTTTGACGTCCTTATGTGCTTAGGACTCCTAGTATTCTTCCCACTGTTGAGATTTGATATCCATTTTTGTGATCCATAATGTATAAATCTGGAATATTATTTTTAGATATGTATCACTCCTTAGCAATCTTCTTTAACTGTTGTTGCCCTTATTCTGTAAAATTAGTTTCTTTTTATACTCAAATTTTGGGTTGTTACCGTGTGTAGGAGGTACAAACACGTCCGCTTCCAAATCCACAAGTAGTTCCCAAAGGTCTACTTTGAAGCATCCAAATTATCAAACTCCTGCCTCTGCTTTATATGACGCCACTGAGGGAAGGACAGGTATACGATATAACATCTTCTGTTGCTTTTCAGTGTTTTTTGCCCCCTTCGATTTTTTAGATGTGGTTAATGTTTCAGTTCATGTATTCAGAAACAACTATATAATTTGTTTGTAATTTGGTATGTGATGGGGAGCATATTGTTATGGTGATTCACTTTCCAAAACCCAAATTCTGCTGGTGTTTTTTATTTTTTGAAAGCTTACGTTTTGTAGTGGCTATATTATATTGTTCGACAATTTAAACACAGTTGTGCCAGTAATTCCTTTGCTGGAATGTCTGGATTTCTCTACGTCTGTATTTGTACTGTTGTATTCATTGAACTATTTAGGGACTACTGATTGGGTTTTTCTGCTTGGTCCTGAATTTACTACTTGTATCTGCAATCATAGGTGAGCTCACTGCGCCAACAGGTGCAGATCCTATTGCCATGATGGAGTACTACGTGAAAAGGGCTGCTCAGGAAGAGAGAAAGAGACAACCTAAACAGTCGAAAGATGAAATGCCCCCACCTGCTTCTCTTCAAGGTTCATATTTGTTACTGATGGAAACCAGAAATTGCATATAGTTATTAGGAAACATTTTTATATTTTAGCTCTATTTTTGGGTCAGATAGATGCAAATACATGGTCTCAAGATGGTTTTTTTTTTTCCCTATTTTCTTAACAGCACCTTCTCTTAAAAAAGGTCATCACATGGGTGATTACATCCCACAAGAAGAGCTGGAGAAGTTTATGGCCGCTTGTAATGATGCAGCTTCACAGAAAGCTGCCAAAGAAGCTGCAGATAGGGCAAAAATCCAGGCGGATAATGTGGGTCATAAGCTTTTGTCTAAAATGGGTTGGAAAGAAGGTTGGTCATAAACTCTCGTAATGGTATCCAGAAAATAGATTATTCTTTGAATTTATTGCCAGATTTTCAGTGATCAGTCCTTTCTACTACGGTGATGCGTTGTTTTTCAAAGGGAGAAACCTAATGATGTAAGTGAATTCAGGTGAGGGCCTGGGGAGCTCTAGAAGAGGAATTTCGGATCCAATAATGGCTGGTAATGTGAAGAAAGACAATCTGGGGGTTGGTGCTCAACAACCCGGAGAAGTGACTCCTGAAGATGATATATATGAGCAGTATAAGAAGCGGATGATGCTTGGTTACCGATACAGACCCAATCCTCTGGTAATTACCTTTTTCTCCTTTTGTGTGTTTTTCCATGTTTGGCATTAGAAGTATAAAGAAATTTTCTCATCTTCTTGTTATCTCTGACTTTCTGATACGTTTTCTGGACTTTTTGGGTTGCAGAACAATCCACGGAAGGCATATTACTAAAGGATTGGTTATACCGTGCTATATCTGTGAGATTCGTTGTCTGAAGTTCATTGGAAGTTAAACTACCTTATGGGGTAAAAGGAGATTTTGATAGGTTAATTTGGAATTAAATTTGTATCTGAAGTCTGTTTTGTGAATTATTTAATAAACACTGTTTATCATCTTTCTTTTCATCAAAGATATTTATTGAGCAGAACAAATGGCATTTTCACTATATGCATTTTGTTGATTAATGCATCAGTCTAGAAGGGGGCGGCCAACATTTTGCTTATGTTCACGTAGATTGTTCCGGCCGATAACCGATCTGGATGCTAAAGTTATATTATGCCTGCAGTTCACATTATTGATCTAAACAAGCCTTTCATTATTCTGGGCTCATCAATTACAAAGATGAAGATGAGGATTTAATATCTAATTTAATTTCCAACATGATGACCAAGTACTGTTGCAAAATCCAAACAGCTATCACCCTCTCAGTAAACGAGTTGGCTTTTGTGATCATGGAAAAAATTTTTTGAATAGTCTTGAATCATTGTTACATTGAAAAGGGGTCTCCTCTACCTTTTTTGTTTTTGTTTTTACTTACTTTGTAGGATTTTTTTTATATAAAAAAGGTCAAATCTTGATTGGCGCTTTGTGGCTCTGGTTTGGAGGGAAATCATATTTTCTTGATGATGTTGATGTACCTCTCTTGTGTTTGGAGACCTCTTTCAAAAACTTAGAATTACCCAAGAAAACTTAGTTTTAATCCAAGAGCAGTTGTCTCAAAACCCCTACGACCCTTTTCTGTTAGACAAAGATTTCAATCTAAACACGGAGTTAAAACTTTTGCTTGATTAAGAACAGGTTTTCTATGCCCAAAAAGCTAGAACTAACTGACTTCAATTGGGTGACAAAAACACCAAATATTAGGGATCTTGATGGTCTTTGGGTTGAGGGTGATATCCTTCCTAATGCTTTTATTAAGGCTTTTAAGCTTAGATTTACGGCTGAGCAGGCCCCCAACCATCACTTGATGTTTGAATTCCTCCAAGTGATTGAGCCTTGTGTCACCAGTTCAGATAATGAGAATCTCTTGGCTCCTGTCTCAGATTTTGAATTAGAGTGTGCTATTAAGAGTATAGGGCCACTTATAGCTCCTGGGCCTGATGGTTTACCATAAATGCTGGGACAACACTAAACACATGGTGAAAAACCTAGTCAATGATTTTATTTCCAATAATATTCCCCTATAGGACATTAACCACACTAATATAGCCCTCATTCCTAAAGTAGCCTCTCCTGAATCTGTTAACCATTTTAGGCCGATTAGTTTATGCAATGTCTCGTATAAGACCATCACTAAAATCCTTGTTAGTCGACTGAGGCCTTTTCTATAGAAGTGCATATCCAGAAACCAGGGAGATCCATTTTTGACAATATTCTTATTGCTCTTGAGCTGTTCCATGATTTTAAGCGTAAGAAAGGTTCTCGGGGTGCTAGGGCTATCAAACTTGACCTTGAAAAGGCTTATGATTTGCTTGATTGGGAGTACATTACAGGTTGCCTGTCTCAATTTGGCTTTAGCATTGATTGGTGTGATTGTATTATGAATTGTGTTTCTAGCACTTCTTTCTCCATGATGATTAATGGTTCTCCCTATGGACACTTCAGTGCTTCGAGAGGAATTCGCCAAGGAGATCCTATATCTCCTTACATCTTTATTTTATGCATGGAGCCTTTTATTAGGCAATTCAATATTCTTCCTCAAAATCCTAAAACGAATGTGGGTGTCCTCTCTTCCCATGGAGGCGACCGGATCTATAACTTGGTTTTTGTAAATGACTGTCTTATTTTTGCAAGGGCAACTGCTGTGGCTGCTAGAAATATCAATTGTAGAAAAAATTCTTATCATTCCTCTCCCTTTATCTCCTCTTCAGGATGAGTTAATCTGGGTGCCCAACCCTAATGGGAAGTTCTCTATCAAATCTGCCTACAATTTACAGTTACAGGATGAGCTATGCCACCCTAAGGCTTCCCTGTTGAAGAAAATGTGGAGTTTAACTCTGCCTCCCAAAGTCAAGCTTTTTTCTTGGTTACTCATTCGGAAAAGATTGCAAGTTAGAAGCCTTCTATACAAATTCTTACCTAATATCATTCCAGAATGTCCTCTCTGTAATAATCATATGGAGACTATTAACCACTTATTTTTTGAATGTCAGTTTGCAGTTAATATTTGGAGGTGCATGTCTATCTTCCCCAATATTGCTCAACAAAACTTTGATGGCATCGAGTGGTTGGCTTTGTTACCTCATAAGGTCGCAGATGGTCCGTGTTCTTTCAAAAGCTCTTCTTCTCAGTTGGCAGATTTGGGAAGCCAGGAACAATTGTATTTTTAAAGATATTGCCCCCCACCCGGTAAGAGCCCTTAATGTGGCTGGTCACATTGGATTGGACAATTGGAAAATCAACTCTCGCCCTCCTCAGAATCCTAATGGTGTGCTTGCCATCAACTGGAAGTCTCCACCTCTTGACTGGATTAAAGTGAATTTTGATGGCTTGGTGTGTGGTAACTTGGCTGCTTCTGGTTTTGTGATCCCTGACTGGAATGGTAATGTTAGATTAGCTGGAGCTAAACACTCGGGTCAGGTGTCTATTATAGTTGTGGAGTGTTTGGCTCTTCTGGACGGCCTGGCCCATGCTCTCCATAATGGTTGGCAGAAGATTTTTGTGGAAGGAGACTCCAAACTCATCATTGACTGTGTCAACAATGTGGTATCGGTTCCTTGGAATATTAGTCTCCATGTGCAAGATATTAGGATGCTAAGCACTTACTGCGAAGAGGTTTCTTTCCAGCACATCTTTCGGGAAGCTAATTTTACTGTTGATGTTATTGCTAGTTTAGGCCATAATCTTAATCCTTCCTATCTGTGGGAACAAGGTCTTCCTTTGTGTTGATCTATTCCTTTTATTTTGACTTGTTGGGACCTACATGCCCGTGTGGTTTCCAGTTGTAATTTTTCTTTTTCCTAGCAAAATAAAGAAGAAAACTAGATTATGAATACAATTCTCACTTGATTAAAAAATATTGACAATCTTAATTTCCTGTAAAATTCTACTAAAACAATTTAAACCAACATGTTGGAATCCAGATGATGCCTCATACTTAGGGGTGGTAATTTCTGATACAACCCGTTACACGACATCTTTGTGATTATATGCTACACTATTTAATATTTATAATGTTTCTACAAACTGTTTTTTTAAAGAAGTATAATTTCTTGTCCGTTTTTAAAATTCTGATATATATATTTATTAATACTCGCGCAAACCCCAAGTGGCCCCCGCAAATCCCAGGTGACAACTCCAAGATAATGATGGAGACAAATCCCAGCAAAACTGCCAATCTCTTAGAAATTACGGGTGACAGTTGTCATGAAAGTCGTGACGACTTTGCTGAACGCGTTCGTTCAGAAAGGTCATACTTTGTTTCGTCTATAAAAGGAAACGAAACGAGGGGAAAACACAAAATTACAACTAAAAAAAAAAAAAAAAACCTAACTCCCAATTTTCTTCCTTCCTATTTATCTTGATCTAAACCCATCTCCTCAAACTCAAAAATAAAATGGTATATTCCTTCCCATTTTCTTCGATCTAAACCTAGCTCCGCCAACTCAGACATAGGGGCAAGGGGCTGCATAAGTGTGGATGCCCTACTTTGCTTCCTCACGATGGCCAGTTATAGTAAACAACTCATTACTCATTGACAACGATGTTGTCATTGGAGTTGTGAGGAGTTTAGTGACTCCCAAGGATGTGTGTGTGCTGGGAACAAGGGATGATAATAGGGTAGTGAGTGATGACGTGACATTGAGCGTGCAAAGTGCGACATATGTCACAAGTGTTAGACATCGCCTAATTGTGAAATCCCATGAAGTACAAGTGTAAAGAGCTCAGTTGGTGGTAGAACGGAATTTGGTTGAAGATTGTCAGAGCATTATCCGAAAATTGAAAAGGGAGAGGGTGATCTTTGGAAGCTCGAGTGATGGGCCCCAAAAAGTGGTGCGTGAAAACCCAAAAGAGGAGGTCCAAAAGGCCAAACTGAAGTCTCCAGTTGTGGAAATAGAAAACCTGTCATGATGATGTTATTCTTGTTTTCATATATTTTTTTTAAATTTAAAATTTAATTTTTAGTGATGTAGTAGTATCTTGTTTTTTCTTTTTTGGTTTAAAGTGAAATAAGTTTTTTAATTAATCAAGGGTCATTGAAGTTTATTAGTTGCTGCCACTTTTTATTAAACAGTTTATTAATTTAATAACCTGTTTAAAACGACTCAAAACCCGATACGATACATTTAATAATCTGTTTAAGACACCCAAACTCAACACGATACATTTATTAAATGAATCGGGTTCGGGTCAAGCATTTTGACATGTTTATTATTCCGATACACGACCCATTGCCAGCCTCGTACTCTCATTCTCTCGCCTCGCACGCTTGACTCGTTCGCTCAGAGCTTCAACTGAGCTCGACCTCTGTCGTTTCTTCAGCCTTCTCCAGTGGTCTCCGCCCAGGTAACTCGCTGTCTCTCTCGTTGACATGCCCAAGGTTTTTCAGGAACCCAAGCTCTATTTGTTTGTTTCCTTTCTGCAATTCTTGTTTTCTCAGGATTTAACATTGGAAGTGAAATTTTTTATCAAATAGGTTTGTTAGGTTGCGTTGTTTCTCCATGAGTTTTGTTAGTTTTCATTGTATTGTTGACTGACGAGTTGATGATGTTGATGTTCTCTCAAGATCTTTCGTTTTTGTTCTCTCAAGATCTTTCGTTTTTGTTTAGATTCGACGTGAGTTTTTGTATAGATTTTTTGATGCTTGTGGCTAAGTTTTTCTCTAATCTATTGCCAAGCATTTGTTAGTTTCTGTAATGAGTATATTGTTTGGATGAGTGTTCAAAATGTAGTCGAAAAGTTCCTCTGCATTTAGAGTAGGTGCCGTTTCCTGCATTTTAAAGAGAAAATAAACCAACCAATTAATCCTATTGCTTTAACCACTTCACTCCAGCATAATGGCTAAAAGTTGAGAGACTCCACACCTATCTAAGCAGCAGCCTTCAAATTCAAAACAGTTGCATGCTTTGCTGGAAATAAAATATTGAAGACTGATAAATAATTTGAAGCCTTGTATGAAAACCAGTAGTATTAATAATTTTGTTATCTTTTTTAGAACTAGCAAATAGCAATGGTTGTTCTAGCTCTTTAAGATGTCAGAATTCCTAAATTCTTATTTCAATAAATCAGCGAAGCCCCTTTGTTTTGGTTGCTAATCCATGCTATTAGAATTGTTCTCATAAGAGTTCATTCCAACTAACAAAACAGAATGTATTGTGGAATCTTTTAGGTGGAGTTTTGTTTTGTTTAGATTACATATATATAATAGACAACGATCCCTCAACTCCTTTACAAAATAGAGTATCGTTTGTTTGTTTAGTACCATACCAGCTCCACCATGTTGCACCTTGATTAATTACCAACCAAGTTAAGTAGCCAATATTAGCGTAGCTTTTAGCACTTGGGAGTCAGCACATATGTAGCTTTGGAAGTGTACTGTATTTATTTATGTTTATGCCAGCAATTTACAGATATGATCTTCTCTTTTGAATTGTCTTATTATGCATGAGGACTGTACTGCCCTGTTTTGCTTAACAGAAATGCTTCTTTGGATGATGATGATGATGGTGCATATACTTTAGCCTCAGAGTTTTGCTTTAATTTATGTGAATTTTTTTGCTATATATGCATTTTCCTTGAGAATTTCTCCTACATTATGCATGATTAATTGCATGGTTTTATTTTGCTTTTGTCTAATTGTAAGCCAATGGGGGAGTGTACTTAATGTGAGTGCAACCTAGTTCTACAACCATAGATTAATTGAGTTCGTAGACCGTATAGAACTAATGTCATCATGTGCATTGAATGGAATCTTAAGGAAGGAGAAAAGGGAAATTGTTCTTGTGTTGTGAATTTCATTGTGTTATATTGATTGGCTTAACCTTGGATATATGTACAAGTTTTTTAATTTTGTTTCATGTATGATGATTAGACATGCATAGAAGAAGAGTTGTGTTATTTGTATTGGCAAGGCAACTGCATCTACAACAAAATTGCGATGGGCACAATGGTGTTGTTACATTTGTGTGTTTGTATGCATAGATATAGGAAGAAAAGAAAAGTTCTTAGTAATCACGCATCAGTTAGGCATGACACTCGTTTGAGTGTATTAGATAGCATAGATTCATAATTTCAAGTGACATACAATGTGTCAATGAACTCCAAATGGATAGGAGGACATTTGGTGTGCTGTGTAATTTACTTTATAGTCATGGGAGGTTGAAAAATGATGGATTGGTGCCTGTGGAGGAGCAAGTGTGTATCTTTCTACATATACTTGCTCACGATGTAAAGAATCGTCCAATGTAAGATATGTTCCAATGTTCAGGAGAGACTGTGAGAAGATAGTTCAATTCGGTTTTAAATGGAGTGTGTAGGTTACAAGGCCACCTACTAAAAGCACCAGAACCTGTGTATTTGAATATTTAATGAATGGAGGGAAAATACGGGTTGTTAATCATTAGGTTAATTATGTGTATTTGAATATTTTTGGAATTTATAATTTTATGAATTTTGATTTTATTAGAAAATACCTTTTTATATTTATTTTATTGGAATATTTGTTGCTTTTATTTTCGTTTTTGCATAATTGTTAATTTTCACTTAAAAAAATATAGTTTAATTCAATTTTATAAAAAATAAATCTCAAAATAGCATATTTTAACTTAATCCAACCACTTAATCCTGTTTAACACCAAACATGGGATTGGATTAGTGTTATCTACTCCAATCCAATGCAATCAAATCTAATCCAATCCCACTACTACATAATCCAATCCAATCCTGGCAAACAAACAGGCCCTAAGTTTCTGAATTAATTTTAGATTTTAGTGCTGATTTGTTGTCGTTTCATGTGATTTGGTTCAATAATAATAATAATAATAGTTGTTCAGCATGTCTTCCATTTTTGCACTGAACCAGTTGAGATAGGGGCTATGGGTTCCATGTTTACATGGTTGAGAGGCTAATTTACTTTTCAGTTTGTCTTAGAGTGCACTTTTCTTTTAGTTTTTTAGATGGGTTTGTGTAATTTGATAGGATTTAGTCCTTTATTTTGTTTCTTTGAAGATTTGAAATTGCTTGAATAGAAAACAAATGTTAACCATGAAGTCTGGACCTTGATTTTAACTAATCCTCACTTGGGTTTTATTTCATTAGCTGTTTACAAATAATATATTTTTGTCATCGTTTTTAACAGAGTTTTCTTGGTACAAAAAGGATAGTGATATTCCTGATACTTAATGAATCATTCATCTTATTGGCTAAGTTAGCTAAGACTTTGGTTTTAATTTTTTGAACTACATTTAATGGAGTGAATTCTAAATCATTTCTGTCATTGTGTTGGAAGTAGGTTTTGTAAGAAACACAAGAAGTATGGCTTTGACAAACTTCATACTGACTGTCGCTGGTGTAAGTGCGGTGGTTCTTCTGCTGAGGAGTGATGTGAAGCAATCGGCTACCATCTTCAGGCGCAATGTCAAACATATCCGTAAGTGGCTTGAAGAAGAATCTGCCAATGCCCCCAAGTAATCCTCTTCTCATATTTTCGTTTTCTTGTATAAAAAAAATTTCACTCTGAAATTGTTGATATGTTTGAGGGACACCATTTTGTAAAATTTTTGGTAGTTCATTCTAATTCAAATGTTTCATGAAAATGGTTCAGCTTTACTGTGCTAGTTACATTCTTAAAATGGGTAGTAAGGGTTGTGATTCTCCGCAGAATGCAACACTTGATATGCTTTATATTCAGATTAGATGAGAATTTATGCTGTTGTCATTAAAGGGCATCTTTAAGATGGTACTCATTCCATTCTTATTTTCTTTTGTTCTTGCTTTTCAGCTTTGCCCTAGCCTCGTTCT